ATCTTTAATGTCCCTTCCAACCCAAACCATTCTGTGGTTCTATGACTGACCAGCACCTACACAACGAGCATTGCAGACCCTTGGACCCACTCAGCACACAGCATTCAGCTGCCATCAAAGCTCTTGAACCCACCACCACGTCCTCACCATGCCTGTCAGCCATACTGTCGAAGAACATCCAGTGCTCGTTCTCGGGGCCGTATTTCACAAAGGAGACGTAATGACTGGTCTCGATGCAGAGCACTGCGAAGAGCTCCATCTTCTCACGAGGGACCTGCTGGTTACCCCGGGGGCTCCGGCTCTGAAATTCTTCTGGGATGTGCAGCTTGGTTGGTCTGTGTGTTTTGCGTTGGTAATGGGAGTGAACCTGTGGAGAGATGATGAGGTGGCACCACTGAATGGGCAGAACTGAAGGTGGCCTGACAGAAAGAGGAGATCACTGTGTCCCATGTGGCCAGCTCCTCCCTACGTGGCAGGGAATGGCAATTCTTCAACAGGTTGGCATCACGAATCACAGAATTGTTGTGGTTGGAAAAGACCTTTAAGATCGAGTCCAACCAGTGTTGGGTTTATGGATGGACTTGGTGATCTTGCAGGTCTTTTCCAACCACTACAACTCCATGATTCTTGCTCTTGATAAACCCAGCACTGCCAATTCCACCACTAAACCATGTCCCTCAGCACCTCGTCTACCCATCTTTTAAATCCCACCAGGGTAGGTGAATCCCCCACCTCCCTGGGCAGCCTGTGCTTGACCACCCTTTGGGTGAAGAAGTTTTTCCTCAGATCCAATCTAAACCTCCCCTGGTGCAACTTGAGGTCATTTCCTCTTGTTCTATCACTTGTTCCTTGGTTGAACAGACCCACCCCCACCTCTCTCCACCCTCCTTTCAGGGACTTGGACAGAGCCAGAAGGTCTCCCCTCAGCCTCCTTTCCTCCAGGCTCAACAACCCCAGCTCCCTCAGCTGTTCCTCATCACACTTGTTCTCCAGGTCCTTCACCAGCTCTGTTGCCCTAAGAAGCTGAGACAGGAGCTTGACACCCTCCAAGAAAGGCCAGGAAGCTGTAGAAATGCTCCTGGTGAGACAACATGGAGAACCCAGCACTCAATCTGCACGGGATCAGTGTTTACTTAGGCTCTGTGTAAACAGAGGGTTCAATAACATGGGGCACCTAAACCTGCTTCACGTGGCTGATGTAGGTGGTGGGACTGAGCTTCTGTCCCCAACCTGCAGGGACAGCAGGGAAATGTGGATATTTCAGAGGGTTCAATCTGCTGTCAGCCACCAAGGTAGATGTCACCCAAAGGAACTCCATACCTGTCTGGAGCAGGAGCTGCAGAACTGCTTCAGGCCCGTCGCTGCGAATACTTTATCTTTGAAACACTCAGAGCACTCCAGGGTGGCGACGTCGCCGCACAGGCAGCACTCCCTGGGACCTGCAGGGGCAACAGAGGTGAGGGGATGTGTCTTCTCCAGGTTTCACCTGAAATCCAACTTGCTCTGACAAAACTGGTGACTAAGGAAGAATCACAGAATCACCTCGATAGGAAAAGACTTCTAAGATCATCAAGTCCAAT